CTTGCCCTTGTTGAACCTCATCAGGTTCCTCTCTGCCCAACTCTCCAGCCTGTCCAGGTTACGCTGAATGGCAGCACAGCCTGCCGGTGTATCCACCACTCCTCCCAGTTTGGTGTCATCAGCAAACTTGCTGAGGGGACATTCTAACTCTTCATCCACGTCAGGACACACTTGGAGCAGAAGGCATAACAAAGCCAAAGCTTGTAGCCAGACAGCTTGAACCCAGACAGGAATATTTTTCCAAAGGTACTTAAAGGACTTACGATTCTGAACTCCTTTTAGTTTGCACTGGAAAGACACGGGCAGAAATGATCCACGCAATAATCAATGCAAAGCTCAGTTCCTCTCACCAAGGGATACTGCAGTCTATTGCTGGGGTGAAATCTCAGTGGAATTTATTTCTACTTCTCCAACGACAATTAGTCACCTGCTGCACAGCAGATTTCAAATCAACGTATTTCAGTAAGGCAAATTAAGTATACTGCCCAGCCACTTACCAACCTATTCAATATTTGATTCCTTCTAATGAAAACAACTCCACAATAAATGAACTTCCACAATTAAAGCCACATTTTTCTTTTTCTCCAGTAAAACAATGGACTATATTAATGTACCTCAAAAACTAGAACCGAACCCTCCGTCACCAGTAATTATTATATTTTATTATGGCTTGATAAAAGGATATTGTTATACAAGCACTGAATATCCTATAGTCCAAATTAAGGCTCTATTCACTAACAAAAGTATTTTTCATGCAGAAGCTTGAAAGCCAGAACGCAAAATGAAAAGCACATTGAAAAATGTTATTGTTTGACTAAGTATTAACTATGTCGTTCTTCAGATCTGACTGAATAACACTAATGCACTCTGCTATTGTTCAACGGTTTAAAGACAGGAAAAAAGAGAAAAGGCAGCTATTAGATTCAAGCATATTTCAGATTCCATTAATATTTGCCACGAGGCGGGAGTGGGAGGGGAAAGCAGGTTGCTGGCAGGGCGCTTCCGTAAGGTTTAACAGTGGGAGCACCGCTGCCAAGTGAGGTCTTCCACGAATTTCCTTGGACTTGGGTTAATTTGGGGAGAAGATGCTCAACACAGCGATTTTTTCTTATCTTACCGTATTGACTGCTCATGACATTAAAAACAAAAAAGCAGCTACAAGCCTGACGTTCAACCCACTGCGCTTGACATCGTGCCCAACGAGGACACCCGTTCTAGTGCCAAAAATCAGGCTTCAGGAAGAAGAAACAACAGGGAAGGACCACGTATGGAAAGCAGTAGCAATTAGCAACCGATATCATGAGATGTTGAGCAACCAAAAGGTGATCTGGCACGGGGGGAGGTATTCAACATCTACAGGACCTGGCTTCAAAGATTTACAGGACGTGGTTTCCACGGGTGCGAACACCCGCTCAGAGCGGGGACGGGACTTGTACAGTTATTTGTAGGTCTGGAAATTATTCCCTTTTCCAGAATGACTTCATCAGAAGAGCTCTTGGAACAGCGAAGCGGACGCAGATCACGTACTCACCCATCACCGACAGCTCCGCCGAGCCACTGCTGTTCTCGTTTCTGTAGGTGACTACACACGTGTACGTCCCAGAGTCATCGTCCGTCACGTTCGCTATGAGGAGGTTACTGCCAGCCAGCAACGAGTACTTTCTGGACCTGAAACATGGATAACACAAAATACACATTATAAATCCCGCTGCAAGTCATTCTCAGTTGTGATTTTCACAGTTAATAGCTTTACGCTCCCACTTCAAACACCAGGCAGGTGACTTTTATGGTCCAATTCCACCCTTGGATTTGGTGCCCAGATGAGTTGTAGCAGCCGGTAAGAGACACATCCAGTTTCTTTGTTATTTAGGAGGAAAATCTGACGGCCTCCAAGTCCACCCCGTGGAATTTAAAGCGTTACCCAGTGGTTTCCCCTTACTTCGCTCAAGAAAACGTAGCGTTAGATACGTGACCCATGAAAAACGGAGCTACCTGACGGGGAGCACCTCGTCTCCTCGCAGCCACGTGAAGGTAGGAGGGGGGTACGCGGAAACGCAGCACTCCAGAACAGCGTCCTGCCCTTCCATGGCCACCACGTTTGACGGTCGCTGCAGGAAAAACTGCTGTCGGTGCAGACCTGGATCTACGAGAGCAAATGAGACAGTGAGCATCCATAAAGGAAAAAATGAACAACAAGAAAACAAAATATTCTTTTTATTGGGAACGGGGAATGTAAAATGACGGATCAGTAACGGACCCAAGCGACCACAGCGTTCACAGATTCTTACTGATGGGAAAAACAGAAAATCATAGTGCAGGCATATAAAAAATATCTCAAATGGCAATCTCGGAGCTGCTTACAGGTTGAACGCAAGGGAGCAATTTGACAGCAGAAAAATACCAGCTTTTGGGAAAGCGAGAAAGGACTGTTTACAGCCTGGTGTTGAAGTCAGGTCTTGGAAAGCCACAAGAAAAGGCTCACTCATGGCAAGAACAGCCAGAGATGTACATAAAGTGAAGAGC